TCTAGGGGCTTTACACAAGAATTTCTAATAGCGTTTTTTTGTTGTTGTTTTTTTTATCCGATACAAAATGACTGCAAGGCAAAAAGCTTGTGGAGAAAATGCTTATTAAAGCTTATCTTACATTTTAATACTACATAAAAGCTTTCCCCTGATGATCATTATTTATTTTAAACAAGTGAGCTCCTAAAATGTTCTTCTGTCTTCCTTTTTTGTTTTTGCAACACAGAAAAAAGAGAATGTAGCTCTAACTTACATAAATCGTATCAATCGATCACACGTTTAGCTAATATAATCCAACTAAATTTGTTCATGTTTGTTTTAGTCGACAATTGAAAAAACGTAACAAATTGCCTGGTGTGTCTGGTTGCCTTTACTATGTCAGGACAATGTGTCTCGTTGTCCTGACATAGTAAAGGCAACCAGACACACCAGTTTGTTTCCCTAAACTGCTTGGATAGAAATCCTGAGAAAGAACATAAAGAAAATAGGTCATTGCAGGAAGTAGAACAAAAAAATTATATATAATTTAACATATTGGTGAATAAGAAGGGTTTTATGGGTAGATGTCAGAAAAGTGGACTAGAAGAGCATTCCAAAAGCTTCGGCACACCAGTTTGAGAAAGGCGAAGCATTCAAGTTCAAGAGGACATGTGGATCTGAGATAGCGCGTAAAGGTGAAGCAGTTCAGAGAGGCACAGAGGATAACATGTCAGGAGAAATTTATTGGTGAGAACTAGAATTTCCTAGTTGATCCGAAACCTCACTTAAAGCTGATTTCTTACAAAATGCTTTTTGTCCACTGCGATGGACTGGCAACCTATCCAAGGTGTACCCCTCCACTTCGCTGGAGAAAGATACCAGCACCCCTCCCAATCCCGCGAGGGAAAAGGGTGTACAGAAAATGGATGGATGGATAGATGGATGGAAGGATGAATGGACAGATGGATGGACAGACACTCTTTGGCCAGTCTGAGCTGTTTTACAAAAAAGAATAGCCAATAGCCACACATTTCAGTCTCTGAATGGATAGAGCTGGTTTAATTAAAAAAATAAATAACTTGTGGCTGTATTTTTGGAAAAATGTGTCTCTAGAAAGCATCAATAAAGGGACTCTGTGTCAATAACATACAATTCAACTTGCAAGGAGATCTTTTTGTGTTCAAAAGACTGAGAAAATCTGATAAAAAAAAATTTTTGTCATCTATGCAACCTTTGGAAAAGTAATAGGATTAGTATTTCCCTAGAAGCTGACTTTGATTCTGAGCAAAGCTGAGCTCCAGAATTTTATTTATTCAGAATAATCCATTCAGTTTCTGCCAATTCCCAGTTTGATAAAGTCTGTAATAACATACTCAGATGTAATGAAGCGCCATGAACCCTACTAATCTTCTCTGCTAATAAAAGACAAGAGCGCCTGCCCAGGGACAAGACAAGACTCTGATAGTGGTAGGGCGAAGGGAAAATGTGAGCTGTTTGAGACTCAAGGCAGAAAATGTCTTTTAACCTTTCTTCCTGACATTCTAGTGAGTAAACCTCAGATTTTAAACTGCAGCGACAGAGATTATCCTTAAGATCCGCCGCCTCTAACTGAGCCGCTACAGACCACTGGGTCAATCTTGAGCTTGTTTGAGCCTGACCGCCTCAGTGAACAGCTTCACGCTCAAAACGCAGCACTGCCAGGGGCCAGTCTCTCAATTTATATAAAATCCTTGGAAAATGATGTTAGATGGATAAAAAAAATCTTCCATCTGTCCAAAATGACATTTGGGGAGTTGAAGGAATTTGAAGGAGTAATCCCGACAACCCCACAGTTACATCCTGTCAATTATTCCAATTCACCAGCCTGAAATTTATTTTAAAATGAAACACATGCAAGAGAAAAGAGTCAGAATATGTGGTTAATATGTTGCATGTCTTTCCAATGAAAAGACTTATAAGGCAGTTTGGTTTTGTAAGAATCATTTTTGAAAATATTGTTTGCCTTACATGTTTTCTATTAATTTGTAAGACTGTTCTCCTCCAGGGCATACAATATGTGAGCTTATTTTTAATATCCACTAGAGGGCATGATTTTCCCACATATTCTCACTATCAGGTCTTCCAGCTGCTGAGATTGAGCAGTATATATATATATATATATATATATATATATATATATATATATATATATATATATATATATATATATATATATATATATATATATATATATATATATATATATATTGCTCAAAAAAATAAAGGGAACACTCAGACAACACAATATAACTCCAAGTAAATCAAACTTCTGTGAAATCAAACTGTCCATTTAGAAAGCAACACTGATTGACAATCAATATCACCTGCTGTTGTGCAAATGGAATAGACAACAGGTGGAAATTATTTTCATATTTATTTCATTCATTCAGATCTAGGATGTGTTATTTGAGCCAATTGGTGGCATTATATGAGGTTTGATCGTACTACATTATCGTTTGGATAAAACAACTCTGTGTAATTGGATCTATGCATATATGAATCTGAATATGTCTATAATCCATTGGATTTTGACAGATTTTAATAGCATTTAGACAGACATAGATTATAGATAAATTCTTCGTATTATTAATAGTAGTATTAGTTGTAGTAGTGGTGGTTGCAGTAAAACTTATGAATAGATAGATGCATTCCTTTGCAATGTCACTAGATGGCAGAAAGGCTTCGTAATGGTTGCTACAACATTCAGCTGCATATATCATTTAGCCTTTCTTGGAATTCGCAAGCAGATCTTTTTCAACATAAATGCAGAGTTTATGCATTACTTTTCAAGATGCTGTTGCCTTTTATTCTCTGAAATGGTCAAATTGTATTATAATATGACATCATTTAATAGAAGAAAAACAATTGTAACATGAGCAGTATGTTTTCATTTAAATCCACTATTAATTTTTATAAGGTGGATTTGTAAGAGAAAAAAAAAAGTAGTAAGAAGAAAAGTGGGGTAAGATATCTCCGAAATCAAAATACTATAATCTACGAAAATTTAAGCGAATATAAGAGCTAAAGTTATTGACATTTGTCAGTCTCGAAATGATTGCAAAACCTTTCTAAGGCATTGGGATTCCATGCAGCAGATGACAGTTAGAGCAATAATCCACATAAATAGAAGTGTGAAACTTCTAAGAAGTGTCTGACTCCAAGAGAGAATAAAGGACTCATCCAGGAGGTCACAAAGAACATCTAAAACTGTACAGATAGCTTCCCTTATCTCTCCAATTGTACTTTGTAAACTGCTCCAGTGCTGACAGTGCGGAGATAATGTGAACAATAGAGTCCAGGCTGCTCACTGAGACAAACTGTTTAACGACAAGTCAGTCATATTGCTTTCTTTGTTATCTTGTGTTATTCTGTCAAAGCAGAGAGGCTGTTCATACTGCCGGGTATGAACAGCAGGGTGGGTATTTACATAAAACTGATGCAGATACAGGCAGCATCTCATTCAAATTGCATTGATATGTCCTCAATAACATTACATGTGGAAATGTAAAAATGTATTCACTCTCAACCTTCATAAATGGAAAACAAGGAAGAAATGATCAGAGGAACTTTGGTATGATGAATTTGACACTAATAGATTTAATAAGGAGCTGTCCTGATGTTTGTGATTATAAAATCAGAGGAACTTATCATGAGACACAGAAAAGCGAAAGCAACTAAACTGATTAAACACAGATTAAAATTAGTAATAAAAAAGACTATGGGGACAAGGAGAAAGATGGACGTGGGTGTGGGAAAGTTGATAAATATAAAAAGTACACTGACAATATTTGTTTCAATATAATGTTTGAAATGAGCAGCCAAATGAGAAGAGCAAATAAGATCAATCTGGTTTTCAGGGGAGGAACCTACAGTACCATGCAAATATTTAGTTTTCTCCTTCAGCTTTATTATTAAGTCACCAGCATCAAGATATTTAATTGGGATTTTATCTAACAAAAAAAAAACAGATTACTATTAATTCATAATAGTAAAATAGAAAAAAACCTACATGCTTTTACATTTTTTGCAAATAAAAATCTAAAAATTGTGGTAGCATTACTATAACTCCAACCATTTTTGACTTTCTTCTTCGTCAAAATCAGTTTTGAAGTCTTCACACAGATTAAATTAAATCTGATCTTTGATTTAACCATCCTGATACAAATATCCAGTTTGATCTAAACAATTAATTTGTAGCTTTGGCTGCATTTTTCTGTTTTTTTCTTGCATAAAGTGTAACTTCAGTCTATTGTAGGCATTTATGTCCCGTGTTTTACTACAGTTGAACTCAATTTACTAATTTCTTCACAAAAAAGTGACTAATAGTGATGAATTCTGATTCAGAGTGAAGTCAGTTGGCTATATATCCAGATGCCACGCCTCTCAGATTATACTGTAAAAGAAAAATAAACATGATAAGGGGGCAAATATAAATATAAAGTACATATGTTTAATAAACAATGAATGAAAGAACAATAATAAAGTTCGAGTTTCAGTTGAGCTTTTTTCAAGGTACAATAAAAAGCTGTACACATAAAAATGTGTATTTTGTGTGTTTCTGTAAGATCTGCAAATATATATATATATATATATATATATATATATATATATATATATATATATATATATATATATATATATATATATATAAAGAGAGAGAGAGAGAGAGAGAGAGAGAGAGAGAGAGAGAGAGAGAGTATTTTTTTCTGCTTAAGTAGTTTAAATAAATTGAAACAAAACAATTTGTAAACATACTATTGAAACATAAATTCGTTTTTTGTTTTTTTGTTCTTTTTTTATGTAAAGGTATTTTTGCTTCAGTGCAGCTATTTTGATAGGCACCATTTTTAAAAAAAAGCCCCGCTACCTCCTGGGTCTGTGTTACGCCCCTGCGCTTGCTGTCAGCGCGCACACGGCTCCTCCAGCGGCTCCACACCTCAGATGGCCTGCTGCAGCGGCTGCTACAACTCGCGGAGGCTAGAATGTCACCGGTGATCCTTTGCACGAAGACAACACGGTCGTAAGAACAGATTTGTGACATTTATCCTTTTTTTTTTTTTTTTTTTTTTTGCGTTAACGCTCAGAATGGCGCTTAACTGTGCAACCATACGGACTCGTTCGTTCGTGTCTGCTCTCACGCTTTTTGTCGCGCTGTGGGGACCTGCGCTCTCCATCACCCGCTACTCCATACCGGAGGAGATGGAAGAGGGTTCCTTTGTTGCCAATCTGGCCTCGGATCTGGGTCTGGACGTCCGCAGTTTGCTGGAGCGCAATGCGAAGCTCGATGTCATTCACAGCAAAAATTACCTCGACATTAACAAAGACACGGGGGAGCTGGTAATCCGCGAGAAGATGGACCGGGAGAGCATATGCATGACTAAAACAACCTCGTGCTTCCTGAAGATGGATGTCATACTCTCCAATCCCGTTCGCATTTTCAACATCGAGCTGGAGATCTTGGACATCAACGACAACGCGCCCGTTTTCCGTAGGAAGACAATGCACTTGGACGTTTCTGAGGCAACCCCTCCCGGCGAGAGATTCTCCCTGACCAACGCCGTGGATGCGGATGTGGGGGCGAATTCAGTCAAGACCTACTATCTCAGCGAAAGCAAATACTTCAGCATTGACATCCAGACGGGCAGCGACGGCTCCAAATACGTTGATCTTGTGCTCGACGGTAAACTGGACAGAGAGGAGCATGCGATTCATAATTTGATTTTAACTGCGGTGGATGGAGGTGTGCCTCCCCGCTCTGGTACAGCCAGCATAATCATCAACGTGCTGGACATCAACGATAAAGCCCCCACGTTCAGTCAGCCCGTTTTTGCTGTCAATGTTTCGGAGAACTCTCCAGTGGGGACGGTGGTGATGACATTAAACGCGACTGATTTAGATGAAGGAACAAACGCACAATTAATATACTCCTATACCCTGTACACCTCGGAGAAGACACAGGAGATCTTCTCCCTAGATCCACAATCAGGCGAGATCAAAGTGAAGGGGGTGATCGATTATGAAGAGAGTCAGAGTTTTGAGATGTACATTCAGGCTCAGGACAGAGGGGCAAACCCGCTGTCAGGACACTGCAAAGTGATGGTTTATGTCACAGATTTAAATGATAACCACCCAGAGGTGACCATCAAGTCCCTGAAGAGATCGGTGGCTGAAGATGTCTCGGTAGGGACACTGATCGCTGTGGTGAGCGTCAGTGATAGAGATTCTGGAGACAATGGTGCCGTAGACCTCCGCCTGAACCAGCAGGAAGCTTTACCCTTTCGCCTGAACAAGTCCTCAGAAGGTTACTTCGAATTGCTGGTGTCGAAACCGCTGGACCGAGAAGTCAAAGGCAAATACGACATCAAACTAATAGTGACAGACAGAGGTTTCCCAGCCTTGTCTGAGAATGAAACCATCACCTTGGAGATCCTGGATGTCAACGACAATGCCCCCATGTTCTCTCAGTCCTTCTACACAATCCATGTTATGGAGAATAATCCACCTGGAGCTTTATTGACATCCCTAAGTGCACATGACCCAGATTTGAATGAGAACCAGTACTTGGTTTATTTCATAATGGAGAAAGAGATAGTTAACATGTCTATGTCCATGCTTTTCTCCATCAATCCAGAGAATGGGGATCTTTATGGTCTTAAGACCTTTGACTATGAGAGAGAGAAAGAGTTCCTGTTCCACATTGAGGCCAGGGACTCTGGTGTCCCTCCTCTGAGCAGCAATGTGACAGTTCACATTGTTATCCTGGACCAAAATGACAACACCCCCCTCATTGTATCACCATGGCGAGCACACGGCTCAGTTGTTGAGGAGGTCATACCTAGGTCCACTGAGAAAGGGCACTTGGTGACCAAAGTGGTTGCCGTTGATGCAGACTCTGAGCAAAATGCCAGAGTCACCTACCAGCTACTGCAGATCAGTGACTCAACTCTCTTCAGCCTGGATCAGTACAACGGTGAGATCAGAACAACAAGAATGTTCAGCTACAGAGACCCAAGGCAGCAGAGGCTGGTAGTTGTTGCTAAAGACAATGGACAACCTGCTTTGTCTGCCACTGTTACCATCAAGATATCAACGGTGGAGCACGCCATGACCTTCTTAGAGACAACAGAGTTACCATTAGAATACGAAGTCTTCACCAACCTTAACCTGTACCTCGTAATTGGTTTAGGAGCTGTGTCCTTTCTGTTGTTGATAACCATCTTGGTTATTATTGTCCTCAAATGTCAAAAGCCAAAGCCAAAGGCCATCAAGATGCCCCCAGCCAACAGAAATAGCCTGATCAGCCAGAGAAGCTCCACCATTGCAGATTCCACCCTGATCTCCAGTGATGCCTACTGGTATAGCTTGTTCCTTGCAGAAACCAGGAAGGGCAAGGTGGTGGTGAGACAACCAATCATTCCCAAAGGAGCAGGATATTTTGTATCCAGCATACCCAGAAGCATAGGTCCAAGTGAAACCACAGACTCCAGAGCATCCACACTGGAGGTATGTTGAATTGGTAGATAGCCTTTGGTATCACTGGAAAAACTGTTACATAAAAAATTTTCTTGCATGTATTTCATCTCCTTTAATGAGAATATGTCTTTTCTTCCTTAGTAATTGGAGGGTTGTTAGTAGCCTACTTCTCAAGCACAGGGTCACAGTGATATATATATATATATATATATATATATATATATATATATATATATATATATATATATATATATACGGCGTGCTCCATTTATATATATATATATATATATATATATATATATATATATATATATATATATATATATATATATATATATGATTCTGTGAAATGTCTCAGCTGATGATTATAGTGGGAAATGTTTACACTGCTTCAATCTTACCCAAATTTGCAAATTAGAAATATTTTTTGAGTGCTTAATATCCACATTGAGGGTTCCCATAGAGCTTCAAAAATAAGTATTTTTCAGGGTAACATATGTATGGTATGGGATCCATCCATCCATCCATCCATCTGACAAAAATATGCAGTAATGCTGAAATTTTACCTCTCTATAACATGTGCTTTTATTGTATTTTATTTAGAGGTATTGCGTTTAATCAATTATATACATCTGACAACTCACTTATTGAAGAAGATTTGCATAATTCCTCTGAGATTCCATTATTTTTTAAATCACACTACAAAGGTTTTGATGTACAGTACAGCAAGTGATGCACATAGTCAAAGCCGGCTCCACCCTTGCACTTTAATTGAAGTGTAATGCATGTATCATATTGAGAAATATTGAACAGTTTTCTGTCCGAAACACAGTTTCTGACAGAGTCCTGCTGATTTTGATTAGTTGTGCGTCAGTAGATCAAACTATCTGCATTTTTAGCCATAATTAGGTCAAGATTCCCCCCTCCCTACCCCCTGCCTCCACCTCCCAAATCTGCAAGTGTTTGATGTCTTATGTGGTATGTAGGTCATGTATTGCAGATACATAACACACAATCGCAGCGAGAGTAGTAGGCGTATGAGGGGGAGCACTACAAAGAAGCCCAGAGTTGGAGGGGGTTCTCTGAGGACAAGAGATAGAGCTGTACTAAATGAGATCTGTTATAATTTTCAAGCAGCACTCTGGTGTACAGCAGACTGTCGTCAGTGTATATGTGCCGAGAATGATCCAGATGTTGTTTATTTTTCCTACAGCCGGTGCTACAAAGCAAGCTAAACCAAGCGGTGCTCTGACAGAATCAACAATATAAATATGCATGTACAGGTGCAGATGGAGGGTGAAATGCAGTTGTGCATGATGTATCTGTATTGTGCATTTGCGTGTCACACATTCCACTGAACTTGTTTCTTTTTTCTGTTCTTAAGTACTCAAAATGAAAGGAAGTCCATTCTACAACTGGAGGTATGCTGGTTACTAACTACAATCTGTAGAGCCACTATTATTTTATAGACATTCACTGTCCGTTTCTTTCATATTTATTCTTGGTTAGACTAAAAAAGCAAGAAAGAGAATTGAACTACCACAGTGTACATTGAAAATCTTCTGTTATCCTTTTCCCGTCAACATATTTTCCTGATTAAGTAGAACAGAATCCAATATTTCTGCTTACATTTGGTCAAAATGTCCCCTCACAAATACAACAATCTGTTCCAATCTAATTCTAACGTGAGCACTGAGATGGGAATTGGCTTGTCTATCAAGTGAGAAAACCAGCTTATATTGAGAACTGAGATTAGACTAAAATTGGCTGCTGGTCAGATTCATGTTGTGCACATCTCTCTGTAATGGCACTGTCTGAAAAAGAGATTAAGGACTGAATCGTTTCAGCCAATTGTCAGGCAATAAATGTCATCTATTCATTTAAACGCTTGTTAAAACATGTATAATGTGTCAAAATTGTAAATTTGGGATCATTTCAATCTGATGTTTGAAATAGTGTTCGGTGTTATCCACACCTTTTTGACTTTACATTTCTCAAAATATTTAGCATGTTATGAAGTTATCATATAACACCATGAAATTTAGTGCATTTTAAACAATTGTAATATTGTTATTTAATAAGATTAAAGGTGCTACAAAAATATACTGCAGTACCTTTTTTATATGTGATGTAATTAAGCTAAAATAAAAAACTAACTATAATGACCTAAAGGGTATGATAATGTGTTTTTCTATAAACACATTTTTCTCTTAAGAAAAATTCCCATTTAAAAAAAATAGACTTCTTCAGGACACCAGTTAAATCAAGAAATTAGATTTTTATAATCTGCACACTGCAAGTTCATTTAATTACATTCTTTAATTAGTAATATTTATGATCTCATTATTTTCACGGATCATTAATTGGACTCTATTGTCAAAATAATTCAGTTGCCGCTGAAACATATCCATCCTGCTCTGCTAGAAAAAAAAACTGGGTCTTTGTTGTTCTTTTTGCAAAAGAAATACTCCCATGAAATTCTGAAAAATTACGCAATAGTTAATTGCGTAATTTTTGTCAAGGGGGCTGTGACAAGAAGTCTGAGAACAAAATGACATGCAAATGTAAAAATTAGAATTAATTTTTATATGTCAGGTCAACAATGCAGAGCTTTAAGACAGTTTAAACTTTGTCTACAAAGGCATAGTAAGGTATATTTGGTATTTGAAGTAATAAAATAGGCATTTATAAGTGGGGAATCTCAACAGGTTCTAGCTACTCGTGGGCGTCTGTGTACTGCTTTTAATAATTAAAGTTGAAGAGGAAAACAGATCGGAGCTAATAGCCTTTCATGCCTTAATGTAACAATACCTTTGCAGATTTAAACATAGTATTACGAACAATTTTCAGAACTGAGGTATATGGTCTATCACCCAATCCTAGCTTGCAGCCTTGACTCCAGAATTAAGACATAGTGATGACTGCTTTTGCATGCTTAAATAGCATCATCTGTCTATTAATTGAACAAAAGCTGTATATTTTCTTTACTTCTAAAAGTGACCTTGAGAAAGTTTTGATAAACTAAACTGTAAAGTAAAATAACCAGTAAGTCATTAAAATAAAGAAGCAAAGATCATTGATCTCCCCCCTGTAATTCCGAATGACCCGTAAGTCCAACGAAATGATATTGATGGTGGCAGTAACCAGTCACAATCCACTGTTGCATGAGTGAGGACTTTCTAAAACTCTATATTGTAACTGTTTGGTTTCTAATACCATGTTTTGTTTTGTTTTTATTTATTTTTTCAGCAGCAGCCCAGAAGAGAGCTGCGGTGATGTAATCATCTCTTCCTGGGAGTCGCTGGCGGAAACCTTCCAGTGGCTCGCAAAGAAGATAAACAGTTTTCTATTGTCACTCCCTCTGCTCCAGCTCCTGATTTCCCCTGTTTCCTTTAATCCCACACACCAACAATCAATCAGTATTAACTTTATCCTTCTACCAGTGTGTTTTTAGTTTCCTTTTTTGTTTTTTTAGGTATGAATACTTTCTCTTAACTAGCATTTGGACAAACCATTTTACAGCAGGATGCTTGAAGATTACTAAAGACTCCCAGTGGATACATTTGCCTTTTTCGTCCAGGTTTTACTGTGGGCTGTAGTTTTAGAAGCCATCAGTTCAGTTGTCTAAAATATACCTAAGTTGCCATAAAGTTGTTTTTTTCAATGCTGGAGTTTGAAACACGCCTAATCATAAATATACACACGAATCAGGGTGAATAAGCTTCTTCCATCTGATGAATCCATTATTGTAGCTGTTTATAACATTCAGGCTTGAAACTAGGTGTCTTTTTTGTCCTATTTTGTATGGAGAATCTTTCTGTTTGATAAGACTCAAACTTTTACCTAGTAATAATCAGTGATTTGGGTTTAGGTCTTTTTTTTCTATACAATGTCGTGGTTAACAAGTTTTGAATGTCTAAAAAAATGACAAAAAAGAATGAAAGAAAACAGGTAAACGTAAAAAACAAACAAGCCAATAGCTTTTCCCTTCTTATTATTTGATTGTAGTTGAAATGTGAGTCGTTACAAGGGTGGATAAGATAAGACTCTCACCAACAATAGATGTGCAATTGGTGCAAGACATGCATTTCTGGAGAGTCGTTTACATCCACTCATCACCATACCTGATGTTAATTATGGAGTTTTATTGATTTATTTGAACAGTTTGTTGTTTTTTTTTTTTTTTTTTTTTTTTTTTTTTTTTTTGGGGGGGGGGGAGTCATTATTGAGAGATGATTTGACAAAAGGTTTGACTTCATTGTGGCTGTTTTGTTATAATTTGACTCAAATATACTCATACACATCCACTAATGTTATGGGTAAATGCAATTGTAAACACAATTGTGTGCAATAATTACCAAATCATCAAAATCACTGGCAGTGAAACAGACCCTAAGCATGGTGCTACCACCACTATGCTTGACAATTGTTCCTGTGTTGTTGGACTTGAAAAGCTTACACTTACTCCCAACATTCACATTTTTTTAATAATAATAAATTAGTCTCCTTCTAAAGATTGTAAAATTTCAGTCGAGCTTAAACAGTTTTGAACCTTGGTCGTTCTTTGGTTCTTGACGATTGTAATTAATGTCTTTTTATCTGAGAGTTTCAGTTTGTATAATATGGTTAAAATTTGGAAACAGATTATAGTTCAGGAGGGTAAATTATCCCAAAAACACAATGTAACTACATTGGTAAGGCTTTTTTTAAGCTTCCTGATTGACCTTTAGAAACCCCAAAATGAAACTGATTGAACATTTGTAGGCAATACTAAAAAAATTGGTTGGTGCCAGAATATTACTGTACGCATATAATTGAGCTATTTATAATTTTTGTTAGTATTATCATTATTTTACCATTGTTTTTGTCCTGTAGGGCAATGGCACAGCCTTTCATAGGCATGGCCAGACTGAGACCGTATCACTGAGAGGTGTCCAACAGCAGATCTGTGCGGGAGCCATTTTGGAGCACATCATGCGTATTTTCCAAACAGATCACAAAAAACAAGAAATATTTTCTTGAAACAAATAAATATACACCTATTTTTATAAAGATATGCTGTCCAACCAATTACTGCTGCCACCAAGTGTTTTAAAGGGGAACTGCTTATTTCAGAGGCATGCTCTGCTGGTGAGTTACCTCCCCATGGGAACAACCACCAACTGCTAATCCGCCGCGGCTGCGTGGATTAGCAGAAGTCCCAAATAAATTTTGGCTCCTTATTAATTAATGTGCTAATTGATGTTGATTTTTTTTTCATTATTATTATTTATACCATTCCAACTTTAAAAAGAAAAACTGTTCAAATGCATCACTATAAACCAAAAATGCATGTCAGTCAAGTTCGTGATGATTGCATGTAAACTTTTTAACAGTAACTGTACACTGCAATGCAAACTCTGAAGTTTCTAAGCAAAATCAAAAACTATTATACATTCATGAACAATCAGTTCATCTCTTCCTGTTGAAGAGAGAGGAAGCTCGTCGGTGGCATTTACAAAGTTTTGCCACAGGGAAGAGCTTTATAAATGCATCATTCACAATCAGTAAAGTGACTCGACTGAAAATCAAATGTTTCTTTTAGAAACTATTTCCCCAAATTTCTCCCCCCAAAAAACGTTAAAGAAATTATTTTAGGAATCACACAACTGGTAGAAAAAAGAAAGATGACACATGAGGTCATGATCTAAAGTAAAATATAAATAACCATAAATATGTTTAATAGCCAGAGTAAAACTATAAAAAAAAAAAAAGTAATAATCTTGGCAAGTGTATGATCTGAGGTAGCGGCAAGATGTTCTTTGATGAATATTAATGTTTTTTATATATATTTTATGTAGTAACTTTTATTGCTGCTTTTGTGAGCTTCTTAAAGGACATTTTGTTGCATATTTATAGTGTAGTGCCGTCGTTTTAGTTGTGTACATGAATAAAAAATGGAATAAGAAAACATTTTGTGACCTCAAAGGTAGTGCTGCTGCACCGCCTCCAAGTCCAGGACTTCAGTTTCTCTGTAACAGGAAGCTTATTAAGAGTGCTAATTAGGCTGCTAAATGATCAAATGTACTGGCGCGAGTTTAGGGAGGCTGGATTAGGAGAGGAAAGAGAACATTGTGTTAATTATAGCGACGCTATTCCTGTAGTGACTCTGCTGACAGTGCATAAAATGTATTAAGCAGATGACAGTGGTTTGAATTTGGGATATGCAAGGAATCTAAATGTGATCTCATGCAGCACTCCTGCAGAAATGCAGCGAAGGGGGAATGTTTCTGGATGTATCCGGCTTCACGCTCTGAGTCAGTGAAATGTTATCCCCCCAACCCCTTTTTTTCTTCTTTTTCATGCTGCTCACCTTTGAAAGCATCTAGTTGGCTGCTTGTCAGCCTGAACATGTCGCATAATGAGGGTCAAGTGCATGTTAGATGTGCAATCAGTGGCAGAACTGATTGATTCCAACAGTGTTAATGAAGTTATCGGGTTGCTCCTTGCGTGCCTTCTGCCTTGTATAAGATGACTGTTGACAAATGAAACAATAGCATTTTGTGCACACTAAAAACTGCTGGGTTTTTAAAGAAAAAAAAACTGGTCCTCCGAAGACTATGGGCTTGATTTAACACATAACTCCATAACTCAATAGGTTTGAGTTGTGGGTTTGACTTCATATACTGGGCTTTTACCCAGATTTCTGTTAATACTTCCAATGTTTTTCCTCATGGCATAAACACAAAAATTAGATAAAAAAATAAAATCTATGAACGCATTTCAAAGTTCAAACAGAATCTCATGAAAATTTAAAGCAGAGTCTATGAATATGGCAAAATATTTTTGGTCAAAGTATCAAATTTCAACATAGCTTAAAGTAGCATTAAAAAACAGTAATTATAGATTCAGTGGTGAGGTAACAACATCAACCCAGTATTTTGGTCACAACTCCAAAACAGCAAACTATAAAAATTAATTTAAGTAAAACAATTGTTATTTGAACACATTGCAAATAAAAAAACATGCAAAGATAAATACATACGTAAACTTTATGGCCAGTTCTTTGATTAAAATGTGAAGATTGAACAGAGTTGTCAGTAGTCAGTGAGCAAAACAGTTTTTTATTGTGAGCTGGGCATTAATACAACACATTGACATTGTTATACATTCGCTTTTCATAGTCGTAAACTATTTATTCATATGGAGGAGATTCAGTGAATTATGATTTGTTATTCAACATGTTTGGCTGTAAAAAACATGACGAGTCTCTTCCTGGTGTCTACTGAAACCCAACAGTCGCTAATTTTAACCTGATGTCAATATGACCCAACTTCTGTCCCAGCAGAATAAACCCAGGAAAGAGGAAAATAACCCAGCAGTTTTTTTTTTTCCTTTTATGTGTGTAGTGTTATCGATTCGTTTTACCCAGGTTACAGTATCTTGAGCTGCTTGTTGGATAGGCACTTTTAGACTCAGAACAGGGGTTCTGTTACGAACCAATAGACGCATTAATTGTAAATTAAACTGCTTTATACTTTGTGTTTTTATACAACATACCTTTTTGATATCTTCTGTATTCACTGTGATTGAATGGCACAGGGAATGCTTGTGCTCAGTGTAGTAGGCTGTGAGTGAGTTAATTGTCTCTTTTTTGTTTGTTTTGTTTTTCCTAGCAGCTACTTTGCCGTTCATACTGTACAGTAAGCTTCAAGAGTTGTACCAAACGCTCTCCAGTTTCACCCCGCTTCGCCAATCAAAGACAGTATGAGTGAGAATGGGCTTTCTTTACTTTCATGTCTTGTTAATTGACCGGTTTTGATGTTGCTTATTGGGTTTTAATGTAACGCCTGATTATGCTAGTTTGAATAAAGATTTTTAATCCATCTCTCAGTTGTGTCTGTGATAAAAATGTATTGCAGAAGTCATCAAAAGGGACTTCTTAAATGCTCCCCCACTTCTTTCCCTTGCTATTTCTCTGAAATTTCCTCACACATTGAGTTTGACCCACTTTTTCTTTATAAAGCTCTGTACTAATTCTTAGATATTTGAAACCATTTGACGGAGATGGAATTTCAGAAGCAGACAAATAGTGTTCTCATAATAAAAGGACGTTTCCAGTCTATTTGTTGTAAGTCACACAAGGCTTTCAGTCTGCAGTACTGCAAGCTCTCATGTCTGACAGACAGAGTTTATATCACAGACTTATCCCTTGAGTAGATTATTTATGCCATCTAACTTAAGCAGTAACAAAATTTGTCTTAGTATCAATAATATTAAGATATAAACAGTGTATTGGAACAGCAGTCAAGGGACCCAATGATGCATGAAAGTGCTTTCATCCAAACATTGACATTTCAGCTGTACTTAATTTTATGTAAGCGCAAGGGTTGCTAAATATGTATGAATGTCTCAGGTTTCAAATTTGTATTAATATTTTATGAAAAATATATAATTCACAATTATATTCCATTTCATGTCCGTCTGTCTTAGAAAGACCCACTACAATGTGTTGATATATGATGTAATGTGACTAACTGAACATTTCACGAGCTTTGTAAATGTCCGCAATATGAAGACTTATTTGGAATGGATTCAAATGTTGTGAAAATATGACAGTACCTATGCTATGTTCCGAAATTAAGATCAAACAAGAGTGTAATCCAATAAATTTCAAAATTATTAAGCAAACATTTTGCAACCAATCACACTACTTGGTTTGCTAAAAATTGCCACATTAAAGACCCAAAGTTCCAGAACTTGCTTGTGTGAATCCGAAGTAGGTCAGCAGAACTAAGCAGTGCACCATGGGCTACAGACGTGTGCTGAGTGTTGCTGCCATCAGTTCCTCTCCCCTGTGGGCTCCATTTTTTAGAGTGGGCAATGTCCCTGGCAGTGTTTCTCAACCAAACTGGAAGTGTAGAATTGTGCTTTTAATAACCTGAAGGAAGAAATGAATTATACTTTTCTCAAAAGCCTTTATGTGCTGCAAAAGATTTCTCGATATATGTCCTCAGTACTTTCTGTATGCACTGACTGGATACAGGAACACAACAGTCAGCATCTCATACATTGCCCTTCCAGTCTTATTGGCACCTCTGGTAAAGATGTGCAAAAAGGCTTGAAGTAAATTAATCTTCTTTCTTTTTTCTTTCTTTTTTTTGCCAAAGCATAATATCACACTCAAATTTGATTACAGAAATATATATATTTACATAAAAGT